AGTCATTAGCTTGACTTGATGGCGATTCAGGCAGGAGGTGCACCATCCAGAGGCACGATATGTCCATCCGGAATCTCAGCTTTGGCCCAGTAGTACTTCACTCTTTGTCCATTGACTGTGAACTCTCTGCTACCATCTGGTGTGAGGAGGACGATAGCACCATAGGGGCGAACCTCTTTGACTATGAAAGGACCTGACCATCGAGAACGAAGTTTACCAGGAAACAATTGCAAACGAGAGTTATACAAAAGTACCTGATCATTCGGTTCGAATTGCCTGGAGAGGATTTTGGAATCATGATACGCCTTGGTCCTCTCTTTGTACAGCTTCGAATTCTCATAGGCGTGGTATCTGATTTCGTCCAACTCATTCAGCTGTATCCGTCTCCTCTCTGCAGCAGACTTGATGTCAAAATTCATCAGCTTTATCGCCCAAGCTGCCTTGTGTTCGATCTCCACTGGAAGGTGACAGGGCTTTCCATAGAGCAGGTGGAAAGGTGTGGTGCCTAGAGGTGTTTTGAACGCTGTCCTGTACGCCCAGAGTGCATCGTCCAACTTCGCAGCCCAATCCTTTCGAGTTTTACCCACTGTCTTCTCCAGAATCTCTTTGATCTGACGATTCGACACTTCGACCTGTCCACTTGTCTGAGGGTGATAAGGAGTTGCAACTCGATGATGAACTCCATGCTTCCTTAGGAGTTTTTCGAAAATCTTGTTAATAAAGTGAGAACCACCATCACTTATAACAATTCGAGGCACTCCAAATCGAGGAAAGATGATGGTCTTGAACATCTTAAGGACCACTGAAGAATCGTTGGTGGGACTGGCAATGGCTTCGACCCACTTTGAGACATAATCAACAGCAACCAGGATGTACTTGTTCCCATAAGAAGAGGGAAAAGGACCCATGAAATCGATACCCCAGCAGTCGAATACCTCAACCTCAAGGATGAAATTCTGTGGCATCTCATGTCGTTTGCTGATCTTTCCTCTCCTCTGACAAACATCGCACTGCGAGATGAATGCATGTGCGTCGCAAAACATGGTGGGCCACCAGAAGCCTGCTTGAAGAACCTTAGATACTGTTTTGAATGTTGCAAAGTGTCCAGCATATTCGGATCCATGACAATGAAACAGCACTTCTGGAACTTCTGACTCTGCAATGCATCTTCTGTAAATCCCATCAGAACAGTGCTTGTACAGATATGGCTCATCCCAGTGGTATCTTTGCAGCTCTCTCAGGAACTTCTTCTTTGCATAGCCCTTAAAGTTCTCAGGCTCAGCCTCTGCAGCGAGATAATTGGCAATATCGGCATACCAAGGGCGTTGGGTAGCGGATACAGCAGCTGAACTGGTCTCAGGAAGTCTGTTTCGAATTTGGGAGGTCTCTGTGTTCGCTTGAGAAAGGTGACGCGCGACACTAGTGGTGGTGTCGCTCGACACTAACGTTCCTCCAACTCGAAAAACCTGCAATTCTTCGTCAAAACTGCTCTGGATTTTGGTTTCCACATAATACACATTCTCTTCTGGCAGGAAATCGTCTATGGGTACGTCGTCTTCAACCCTGATGCGTGAGCGATGATCTGCCACACCATTCTCAACCCTCTTCTTGTCTTTGACCTCAATATCGAATTCCTGAAGGAGTAATACCCATCGCAGCAACCTTGGCTTTGCATCCTTCTTCTGCATCAAGTATTTGAGGGCAGAATGGTCTGTGTGCACAATCAACTTCGATCCCACAAGGTATGGCCGAAATTTCTCAAAAGCAAAGACCACAGCCAACAGCTCCTTCTCAGTGGTAGCATAATTCCTTTGAGCATCATCCAGAGTTCGACTGGCATAGTAGATGGCATGAAACTTTTTATCCTTCTTCTGTCCTAGAACAGCACCAACAGCAAAATCACTAGCATCACACCTCACCTCAAAAGGTAAATTCCAGTCAGGAGGCTGCACAATGGGGGCGCTTATCAGAGCATGCTTGATCTGTTCGAACGCAGCAAGGCACTCATCTGTAAACTCAAACTTAGCATCTTTGCAGAGCAGAGCAGTAAGAGGACGTGCAATCTTTCTGAAATCCTTGATGAAGCGACGATAGAACCCTGCATGACCCAGAAAACTTCTAACCGATTACGCAGAATCAGGTGGTGGCAAGCTCGTCATGACGTCAGTCTTCGCACGATCCACTTCGATGCCAGCTGCAGAAACCTTGTGCCCAAGCACAATCCCATCTCTGACCATAAAGTGACACTTTTCCCAGTTAAGGACCAAGTGCTTCTCTTCACAGCGAGCCAGAACTTTGCAGAGATTATCCAGACAGTCCTTAAAAGATGATCCGTAAACTGAGAAATCATCCATAAAGACCTCCATAAAATCCTCAATCATGTCAGTGAAGATGGACATCATACATCTCTGAAACGTCGCAGGAGCATTACAGAGTCCAAAGGGCATCCTGCGATATGCGAAAGTGCCGTATGGACATGTAAAGGTGGTCTTCTCCTGATCGTCTGGGTGGATAGGGATCTGGAAAAATCCTGAGTACCCATCGAGGAAGCAGTAGTAGGGATGGCTTGCAAGTCTCTCCAGCATCTGATCGATAAAGGGCAATGGGAAGTGATCTTTCCTGTTTGCTGCATTCAGCTTCCTGTAATCGATGCACATCCTGTGTCCAGTCACTGTGCGCGTCGGAATCAGCTCATCCTTGTCATTCTTCACAACTGTAACCCCTCCTTTCTTGAGAACCACGTGCACAGGGCTCACCCAAGCACTATCTGAAATTGGATAGATGATTCCAGCTTCCAGTAGCTTCATGATCTCCTTTTTGACGACGTCTTTCAGGTTAGGGTTCAGCCTGCGCTGGTGCTCGATCGACGACTTCGACTCATCCTCCAGGTGGATTCTGTGCATGCACAAGTCTGGTGAGATACCTGAAATATCATCAAGAGAATAGCCAAAAGCTTTGCGATAATTGCGCAGCTTGCTCAGTAGTAAGGTAACCTCAGCATTGTTCAAAGAAGAATCGATAATGACTGGATAAGTAGAATTAGAGCCTAGGAATGCGTACCTTACTCCTGCAGGGAGCTGTTTGAACTCAAACTTAGGAGCTTTCTCCTCACTCCAGTCGGATAACTGCTTCACCTTCGCAGGAGTCTCAAGCTGTTCAGCCTGCGATGCTAGCTGCATCACATGCTCGCTAGAGTCCAACATCTTTGAGTAAGATGCTGAAATTTCGTCCAAGTGTTCAGCTTCAGATGCAGATGTGGTCAAAGCTCTCTCAAGTGGGTCTGTAGGAAGCATCTCATGGAAAAACTCCTCAGCAAACTCTGTGAGAGTGTCGACATAGAAGGTCTGACCATCGATGGTGGGCTTCTTCATCAGCTTGTCCATGTCAAAGTTCATTACCAGATCTCCAACATTCAGAGCAATCCTGCCTTTCCTGACATCGATGATAGCACCTGCTGTAGCTAGAAAAGGTCTCCCAAGGATAAGAGGATCCTTAGGCTCCTCTCCATACTCCAAAACCACAAAGTCAGTCGGTATCATGCAGTCTCCAACCTTGATTGGAACATCTTCTAGCACCCCTTCAGGTATCCTTGTCGAACGATCAGCTAGGATGAGGGAGATCCTTGTTGGCTTGAAATCAGTCATGCCGAGATTGACAGCTACCGAATAAGGCATGAGGTTAACACTTGAACCCAGATCACACAGCGATCTCTTGAATCTCTCTGTGAAGATAGAGCAATCCAAGACAAAGCTTCCTGGATCAGACAGCTTCTCTGAATTCGGTTCTGAATCACTGCACTGACTTGCTCAGATATCATCATCACTCCCTGTTCATGGCTGAGATTATTGGTTACCATTCGCTTCACATAACGTCTGATAACAGGAGTGATTTTTACAGCATCAACCAAAGGTATCTCAATCACAAGCTTTTCCATCAGAGGTTTGCATCGTGCATCATCAAGCTCTTGCTTGGACTTCCTAGGGCTCCTTGGGTAAGGAACTTTAGGTTTGTAGACTTTTTCCTCTGCAGATTTCGGATTCGGAGCATCAACAGCTTCGCTCTACAATTGGTGACGCGCGACGCTAGTGGTGGTGTCGCTCGTCACCGGCTCTGCAATCTCAGGAACTGCGTCAGAACCTTCTAAGTCCACGACTTCAGGTGCAGGAGGCGTCTTCTTGGGCTCAGAACTCAGATTTTTACCACTCCTCAACGTGATAGCATTGCAGTGATGCCTTGGATTGGTGTCAGTCTTCCCAGGAAGAAAACCCTCTTGCCTTTTAACAGAACCTGCAGTTTGGGCTACCTGTGTATCGAGCTGCTTGACATGGGTGTTCAGAGCTTCGATTTTTCCATTCAGATCGAGGTAGAGAGCATCCATCTTCCCATTAAAGTCCACGGTGAGCTTCTGCTGACCTTCCAGAATCTGTTCCAGCATAGACTTCATCTCATTGTCAGGATTTTGAGGTTGAGATGAAGGAGTGCTGTAGTTTCTGGAAAAACTGTTGCTGGAAAAAGGTTTCTGGTAGTGAGGCTTAGGCGTGTAACCAGAGAAGTTCTGATTACTGTTGAAGGTATTCCTCTGATTGTTTCCACTGTAATTTCCACTGTAGCTTCTGTTACCTTGCTGATTACCAAACCTCTGACCCTGAAATCCTGATCCACTGACAAAGTTGACATCCTCTTCCTCAGCTGCATCCTCAGGTTCGAAACTCTCCACCTCCTGTGCGAATCTGACAGATTTCTTACCCACTAAAAGGCTATGCACAGAATCAAGTTTAGCCTTCACTTCAGCGATCTGCGATCTATCCATGTTCCCAGCTTGCTTCTTTCGCTCAAGATCAGCATTCTTGGTGCTGTTGCTGGATGCCAAATTTTCGATGAGCTCAACAGCTTCGTCTGGGTATCTGGTGTTGAAGTTTCCATTGCTCGCTGCATCAAGAGCCATCTGATACCTCCAGTCGATGCCTCTGAAGAAAATACCCAGCAACTGCACATCGCTGAAGCCATGATGAGGGCAGTCTCGCTGGTACGATTTGAATCGCACCCAAGAAGCCTTGAACGCTTCAGTAGGGTCCTGAGAGAAAGTTGAGATCTTAGTCCTCAACTCCTCAGACCTAGCATCGTCGAAGAAGTTGTGCAGGAAGGCGTTCCTGGTCTCTTCCCAAGTGGTGAGTGATCCTGGCTCCAATTGCTTCAACCAGTTAGCTGCTTCTCCAGCAAGAGAGTAAGGAAACAGCTTGCAGAGGAGGAAATCATTGGACACTCCATTGTATTTGATGCTGGTGACAAAATCCTCAAACCTCTCGATGTGATCCATAGGGTGCTCATGAGAGTGGCCATGGAAAGGATGCTGACCCACAAGAGTGTAGTACACAGGCTTCAGCTCAAAATCGTTTCTTTGAAACGCAGGAGCGCGAATCGCAGAACGATTTGCATAGAACTGCTCAGGCCTGTTGTAGTCTCCAAGTGTTCGTCCACGTCCAGCTGCAGGTGCAGGTTCCCTCGCATTCCGATCCTCTGGAGCGTTCCTCTGTTGTGGAACGATCGCAGCATTCCCACGCGGTGCAGGTGGTGGGTTCTGGTCAACAACATCCACTGGTAAAGGAGCTGGTGGAATGATGTTACCATCTCCATCAATCCTTTGGCCTCTCGCATTGCACAGATGACCCTCTCGGTCTCTCCAGGTTCCATCATCATCACGAACAAGTCCATTGGCATTTTCCATCATTGCCGGATCTCTTGCTTTCCGCTTCGTTCGCTCTAACTCAGCTAGCTGTTCGTTGCTCAAATTCACTAGCGGGATGTCCTTGTTGTTCCTGGTTCCACGAGTATGCATAAACCTGAAACACCAAAAACAAAGAGAGAAAACGAAAATAAGTAAACTAGGTTAAAGAAAAGAAGGTGTCGCGCGACACCACAAGTGGTATCGCTCGACACTAAGTCGAAAAACTTAGTCGAAACTCAAAAACTAGGTTTAATGGCGAAATCAAGTCCCCGGCAACGGCGCCAAAACTTGATATGCTCAAAGTTTAATCCATAAGCTACTCTGCAAGAGCACAGATGTGCAGTTGTAGTATGTAGGGGTCGAACCACAGAGACAAGAAATCACTCAATAAACCTTATGTAGATAGAGTTACGCTAAGCCGAAATATGCAGAACAAATAACAATGCAACAGAAATAAATAAAGCAGCGATGAAGACAGTTGTAAATTCGATGTGATAAAGGATAGGTCTAGGGTGATTTTCAGGAGATCAATGAATGCAAATCAACTTAACAAGTCAGGATTCAGTTATTAAGCACGGTTCTTGAACTCGAAACACAGAACTATAATTAACCAACTTCCGTTGTGAGAATTATCTAAGTTAAAATCCTAGAATTTCAAATTCCTTTGTAAATCCTACAGATTTAAACCAGCCTTAATGCACAAGTTCGATATGTTCACAAAGCTCCTAAACCAAATTCCTTTGCGAATAGTTACTTTGCTCAACTCAGGTTCTTTCCAGTTATTCAATTACACTTCCGTGTCAATTAAGCAACCTAAGATCTAAGTTCTAGATGATCAGTCTAGAATTAGCTTTAAGAACAACCTAAGGTGAAGAACAAATAGATATGAACCCTAACTAGCAAGTTAATCAAACATTCAAATAAAACCCTAATTAAACCCTAAACCTAACAGGTGATCTACTCAGACATGGTTATTGAAATAACAAACATGATGAATAGAAAGCAATAGAATAAATCGAAATAGATAAAGGGGTTCGAAATCTTCTCTCTAAACGAACAGAGTACAGACTTGTCTCCCCAAGCTCAGAAATCGCAAAAGCCGAAAACTCAGAGTATCTCTCTCTCAAAAATCTAAGGTGTGTGTAAAAAGGGAATAAAAATCCTATATATATCTCTAAAACACGTCTTGGGCTTCCTTGAAAACGTTTGGGCCCAACTCCTTCTTCATATAGGAAACAAAATCGCCTTTTCCTTATTTCTCTGACAAGTGTCGCGCGTCACTCTCCATGGTGTCGAGCGTCACTAAAGCACAAAATCCATACTTGACGAATTTGATCCTGATTAAGCTCCAAAGTGCTCCAAAGTCTCCAGTTAAGCTCCAGACGTACCTATGACCTGAAAAGACTTCAAAAGACTCGAAAGACACTAAAAAGACTCTATAAATAAGACATATACCATGGTTAAAAACCATAAAAACCATGATATATCACATCATTGGTTTTAATAAAAGTAATCAAAAACAGTAAAGAAAAGAGATGAAGAAAGCTTCTCTATTGAAAAACTCGGACTTGAACAATCTTCTACAAAAATCGCATAAAAACGGCTAAAGGAAAAAGGGTTTCTGTAAAGTATGAAGGGTTGTTGCTAAAAACGACCTAGATAACAAGTATTTATAGTCTTCAATACTCCATGGTCTCTAGGGTTCCGAAATTGAGGCTGAGAATGACTTTGGGCTTCAGAAATATGGGCTTTAGTTCGGAGTTAGCCGGCCGCGGTCGGGAATGACGTGACCGTGGGAAATAGGTGGCTGGCCGCGGTCGGGAGGCTTGTGACCGCGGAGAATGGGCTGTTGGCCGCGGTCGCGTGACTTGCTGGCTGTCTTCGAGTGGCTCCGAGGCTAATGGAATATCTTGAGATCCAACCGTTGGAATGTCTCCAAACCAAGTGCATTTGAAAGCTGGTTGAGTCTTCTATAAGTTGTCCAATTTTGAGGGTGATCAGACGGTGAGAAGGTCTTCGTCTCTCCATGAGAGTTCTGACGGTCTGCATTTATCCAAAAGAGTCTTTTTGTTCCAATTTGTGCCTCTTTATCCCAAATTACCTGAAAAGTCTTTTATAATCCGAAAACATAGAAATCCTTTGAAAACCTTTGAAAATGGAGTAAAAACACCTTTAAAAGACATTAAAGTGATCCATACAAATGGTCAAAATCCGGTGTTATCAACTCCCCCAAACTTAGTCTTTTGTTTGTCCTCAAACAAAACAAAGGCTAAATCTCGGCTAGAGGTTTAAAAACGCAGGAACTAAACAAAATCTCAGAGACCAAACTTCTAGACCAATATCAATCAGTATGCATCAATCGGGAATAGCCTGGAAAATTCTCACTAGCAATACAGGTATAACTAGTCCGTCAATCCGTCATGCGGAAATCTATGCACTAAGATCTAACTTCCAGTCAACTAGCTCTTAACATTCATTAAAAATCTCGGTGGTTCTCATCAAAGAAAGTCTAGGCAAGGCAATCTAGGCTAGGTATCAAAAAGGGTTATTCTAGGGGTAAGGCTTAAAGTGTTTTTGGGTTACCTAGAGGTCTGGAGGATGCAGGATATTATGCAAAACCGCAAGAGAGAGTGAAGCTGTTGGTATCCCCAGTTTTCAGTCACTTTCTTCTTGCCATAGATTCCTAGTCTTCTTCCTCAGGTTCTCTCCTAACTCCCCCAGACATAGATTTTTGTAAATTTTTTAATATCGTAGCTCTATAAACGCTTAGTAGTTGCTTCTTGCTCCAAAAATTTCGACAATCTAGGACTCATTAAGCTTTTTGTTTCGATGCCTGCCTAAAATCAATGATGAGAAAATTAGATGTCAATATTAATGTCAAATAAAATGAGCTAGTATATCATGTCAGAAAGAATCTTCATGAATAGAAGTCCTCTGGTGGGAGTTCGTAGTGCGAGTACTCTAGCTACCGCCTAGTCTAGTGCTAACCACAAATGAGCTATCATGCATAGTGTAGAAGCGTGCAGGTCTAAATCATCATAGTTTTGTGTCAAACATTCCTGAAAAATACTTAATGTCGAATAGGTTACATATTAAAATTTTAAAAGTGCTTGAAATTTGAAAGCAAAAGCAAGAAAATGATTAGTACGGATAGACATCCTCCCCCAGACTTAAATCACACTGTCCCCAGTGTGAAAAAGTTGGTGAGAAAATGGTGAATAAAAGCGAAATAAAATAAGATAAAAGAAAAGAAAATGATGATAGAACCGTGATGGCAGTGAAGTGCTGATCAATCACTCATCCTCCGATGTGTCTGCTGCGAACTGGTGCTGGTCCTGTAGGAAGGTGACAACGCGCTCAAAGCGTCGTCCCTGTCTCTCAACTCTGCGCTCCAGATCAAAATATGTGTGCGATGATGTAGATGATGAGGTGTGGCCAGTCGAAACAGATGGCTGGAAGTGAGCACGGGCCGCAGCTGCATCGCGTTTTACCTTGGCCACTATGTATTGGCCAATGGTGAATGGTAGACGAGGTACAGATGGCAGAAACTCATCGGGTTCCGGAGTCCATCGTGGACGTCCTCCGTTACATAATCTCGGGACTGATGCCGAAGGCAAGCAGACTCGGTGCTCCTTAGTGCCAGTGCAATACTTGTAACCAAACCTGTCTGGATCGAAAGCGGCACGAGAGATAGTGTGATCGCGAGAGAGATAAAGTAGGTCATACCAGACATCGGGAAGTGGATCATCAGATGAGAAATCGAATCCTACAGCTTGTAGTATCACTGTAATAGCGCTCCCGTAAGCTGGAGTAGCGTCCTCGCAACCGTGTAAATCATGCTTCACCTTTACCATGTTCTGTGCTATGATCCAGACAAAGCAGGCGAGTCGTGGGTCGTCCATAAATGGCATTTGAAGTGTAATGAGCTCGGTCTTCAAAACACATCCCATGTTGGCTTTAGAGAAAATCGTGTGTGCTAAGAGTTTGTGCACAACTCTCACTGCAGGATGAGTAAGAAGGGCTGACTTGGATCTCCCGCTATCATAGACTCCATGACCCATCTCTCTCCACAAGTCAAAATCGGGTTCATCTTCAATGTAAATGCCATCGGTGTATGGAAGCTTAAGAGCTTCACAAAGTGCAGAAATGGTGAGCGAGTAAGGCTGTCCACGGATAGAGAATGACAAGATGCCATCTGATGCTCTGGGATTCCTCTTCTTCGTATGGTGGAGTGTAATAGTTGCTAAGAACTCGCGGACTAGCTCAGGATAAGTTGGAAGGTTCAGCTCCATGTAGGATCTCAGCTTAAGTGCATCGATGTACCAGATTACATCTTCTCTAATTCCAAGCATCTCAAGTGTATGATAATCAATGCAATGCGT